TCAGTGGCCAAAAAGTAAAATTGATTCAATTCATACAGCGATGCAATTTTAGAACTAAGAAATGTTGGGGCCGGCGCCATGGCTCACTTGGTTAATCCTCCACCTGCAGCACCAGCATCCCATATGGGCACCAGGTTCTAGTCCTGGTTGCTCCTCTTCCAGGCCAGCTCTCTGCTGTGGCCCGGGAAGACAGTGGAGGATGGCCCAAGTGCTTGGGCACCTGCACCCTATGGGAGACCAGGAAGAAGTACCTGGCTCCTGGCTTCAGATTGGTGTAGCTCCAGCCGTAGCGGCCATTTGGGGGGTGAACCAATGGAAGGAAGACCTGTCTCATTCCCTCACTGTCTAACTCTATCTGTCAAATAAATAATAAAAAAAAATTTTTTTTAAATAACTAAAAAATGTTAAAGAACATAATAACTTCTATTCCAGTTCTTTAAATGCACTGATTCAGGGCACTTCAGGACAATTAGCATTATTAATGTCTTCCTATTCACTATGTCTCATCCACCAAAGGTACAGTGGGAAACCATTTCTGAACCTTCAAGTTTATAATTTTCATCTCTTGGTTTCCAGCCCAACAGCTAATGCAAATGATGCCTTTGGAACAATGAAGGGCAAAACATTTCCTTCCCTACTGCCCTCTGTCTGTCAATTACCCCGAGGTATGCACCTACAACCACCACAGGTGTAAGCAGCTCACAGCCTGCACAATGCAGTGGCCACAGGTTCGCTCACAGGTTGGTAAAACACATGTGCTTTACCAGGTTTCTGTATCATCTCTGGCAAATATTCCCTCTGACCCCGGCCCAACACCATAATCCTCATCACCTTTGCTCATAACCTTCTGTTGATAGGAAGAAACTGAATTCATTTAAATAAAACTTTAAGAAAACACCTAACTATGAATTACACATTGCTTCGAGAATACAAACTGCACGACAATAACTGTTTAGCCCTATCTTAGGGCATTATCATATTTAACAACATAAAAATAGAAAACATCCAAGCCACTGGTATGAATGTCAGCATTCCAAGATGTGACAGATTCCTAACAAACAATAAAACTCAGAAAAACAACATTTTTTGTCACTGAAACTGCTGTAAGTTGGACAGAGGAAGTTAACAGTCACTTAGAGTCACAGAGGAATTCAGCAGGTCTACACATTTTATAAATATTGCCAAGGAACAATATTCACCTCTCAACAAAACCACACTCATGCAGAAAAATAAAACAAATGAAAAAAAGAGAGAAACAAGATAAACACAAAATACTAACAAATACCAACTGGGGATTTAATAAGCCTAATGAAATCTTGAAGCCAAATGACATTTTCTGCAAAAACATAACCTCCCCACCCCACCTGATGAAATCAGGGGTCAAGACAACGCCTGAGAACTAAAAACATGGAAATGATACTCAAAATGCTTTGACATGAAATTCATAAGGTGAATTACCTATCAGAAGGAACTGGCAGCTTCAAGAGAATGCTCAGTCTACTTACTCTATACACCAATAACCAATTTCCATGCTTACATGATAGAAGTCATAGGTGATGAGGAGAATCATCTGTGCACTAGCTGTTTCATAAAACTGGACTATTACTGACACCTAATCCATATCAAACCCCAAGATTCTCTAGAGAGAGAAATAAATGTGAACCATTCATGTCGACCTTTGGTGAAGAACCAGTAGACTCTTTATTAAAACAATCTCAGAACTATTCCTAAGGCAACGTCCCCAAAGGAAACAAACAACTTGGACAGAGCAAATGCCACCAGGTGCAACGTGAAGGAATGGCCTATATATAGTGCTAGCTTGTCACTCAGTCCCAAATACCATTCCTTCCTTTATCCCTTTACAGTGGTGGCTTGCAAGCATTTGACACCCAGCCAGAGAAAGAGTAACTTAGGTCATCTTTTAAAATAATTAGGCAAAGTCTCACGTGCTCATGCAGGAGGTCGGAACTGCAAGTCCTTTTTCTTCCAGAACAGCAGCCTTCTGAACACGGGTTCCCCTTCCACAAGTCAGAACAAGCTGCTACCTAAAAGGCCGAGGAGGCCAGTTGAGGGGCCCGTCCCAGGCCCCCACACTGTGCACGGGCGCTGGTGCGCATTAACAGACTCTACGTCAGGATGGGTAGGAAGTCCCTAGCCAGTCTTCCCTTTCAGATACAAACATTTCAAGTCATATTCTTCATTGCCTTATTTATTTTAAAAAGTATAAAAAATTTCCCTATATAGCTGGCGCTGTAGCATAGCGAGTTAAGTCTCTGCCTGTGGCACCCCATATGGGTATCGGTTCAAGTCCCAGCTGCTCCACTTGCGATCCAGCTCTCTGCTATGGCCTGGGAAAGCAGGAGAAGATGGCCCAAGTCCTTGGGCCCCTGCACCCATGTGGGAGACCTAGAGAGGGCTCCTGGCTCCTGATCAGTGCAGCTCTGGCCATTGTGACCATTTGGGGAGTGAACCAGTGGATGGAAGGCCTTTCTCTCTCTCTCTTTCCCTCTCTCTCTCTGTAGCTCTGTCTCTCAAGTAAATAAATAAATCTTTTTTAAAAATTGACCCTTTATTATTATTCACTAGACTGTACAAAGTTTTTTAAAACTGAGCAATAAATGGGCATTAAAAGTTAAAATTTTTAGAGTTTAATATTAAGAGGAAATGCATATATATGTACACATGGTGTCTAAATGAAAAAAGATGAAATTATATATAAAATATGATCTTAAACATGTGGCACACACATGTAAAAACAAAGACTGGTGGGAATAACACTGGAATATTAAAGAATGATTGTCCTGGATAAGAAGATGTTATCTTTAAAAATTTACATAGTGGGGCCAGCACTGTGGTATAGTGGATAAAGCTGCCACCTGCAGTGCTGGCATCCCATGGGTGCCAGTTCAAGTCTCAGCTGCTCCACTTCCCATCTAGCTCTCTGCTATGGCGTAGGAAAGCAGTAGAAGATGGCCCAAGTTCTCGGGAGCTCTGTACCTACATGGGAGACCTGGAAGAAGCTCCTGGCTCCTGGCTTTGGATTGGCACAGCTCCAGCCACTGTGGCCATCTGGGAAGATGAACCAACAGATGGAAGACCTTTCTCTCCCCGCCTCCGCCTCTCTGTAACTCTGCCTTTCAAATAAATATACAAATCTTTTTTAAAAATTTACATAGTTACTATTTTTATGTTAAACCTATAAGAAATTTTTAAAAATATGTCAGTGCCTAAATACTATTATCCTCTGTTTCCAAGTTCAGAAAACAGAGTCATACAGAACCTTTAAAAAGGGACCCCGAGAGCAGGTCTTGTGTGTGCAGGAGAGGCAGGGTTTTGCTATTCCATTCTGCATCCCTCTAGGAAAACAGAATCCCTGGAATCAGTTATGGATTCACAGTCACTCCAGGCTCTCCAGAAAGACTTCCAGGGGATACAAGGACCCCTATCCTGGTCCACCAGAGTTTCTGCATCTGTAAAACACAGGTCAGAACTAAAAATACCTCAAAAGGAACACTTGTAAACCTAAATGATCTCACGTAAACGGTGTAGACAGCAGAGGGCAGGACGGAAAGCCTTAACCATCTTGTGATCATCATGTTAGTACAATGATCACTACCACCCCTGCCACTCCACCTCCGTCCAAGGCTGTCACCGTCTCCAGAACCACCGTTACAACGAGGACAGGACAGGCAGCAACACTTCCCTCGCTCACGGGACCACTTTCCAAAGGGGACGGCGCTTGCTGATCCGACCCCGGAAACGTAGAGGGACGCAGAGGGGCACAAAGGCATGAGGACTGCACCAGAGATTATTTTTATCACTTGCCTCTGGCACGCCTTCCCCGCCCCAATCCCAGCCAGCCAGGGCCCACCCTGTTCCCCTAGGCTGCCACGCCCCGGCCAATCGCTCTCTCTGGTATACAATTACCACTCCCTGTCCTACTGGCTCGTTATAAAAATCAACCACATTTTTAAAATAGATTCTGAACATGACCCTTGGCCCACTCACAATTATTTATCAAGACCATATCTCAATATTTTTATAAAGGAGTCAAGTGACAAGGGGATTGTTAGCCTATTAAAATAAGTATTTAGTAATTTAGGATACAAATACTTTGCTTAAAAGCTCTTTATTCAAAATAGAAATATTTACCTGTTTTAAAAAAAAGTGCAATTAAGAGGCAAAAACAAAAACAAAAACACACACCAAAACTCAGTAGCTGACAGCTTTGGGAACCTGAATGCAGGCAGTCACATAAACAATTAATGAGCCCAACCCTTTCTGGCCACAGCTGATGGGGACAGACATGCTCGTCTACCGAGAGCCAGGCCAATCAGATCTTATCCTGAAAGATCCAAAGGCCTGCCACAGGCACCACAGTCAAATGCCACAAACGTTAGGCACCTAAGGTCATAAACCAGCGGTCAGCAGGTCTAAGCCAAAGTCAAGGGGAAACAGAAAACCACAGCCGTGGAGAGTGGGAAGCCAGTCCAAGGACAGACGCGAAAATGAGAGCCCAGATGGTCCTGAAAGGCAGCAAAGTGCAGACGGGGCCTGACAGGGCCTGAATTTCGCGTGGACTGTGCGTCAGTACTGGCTTTCCGTTCCCAGCCCCCAGCCTCCTTCGCGATCTCCGCCCACCCGTCTCTGCATGTTTGAGAGACTGACCGCCACGCCGCAAGTCAGCTCCCCGTCACATACCGCCATCCGAGGCCCATTCCATTCCCCAGGAGCAAATGTGCACGGAGCACAGCTGATGATCACGCGACACACACACACACACACTCCCCTGCAGGTTTTCCGTTCCCGCCACTTGCTAAAGGGTTTACAATATAGAACAGTCATCCCCTAAAAGATTTATGTGTTAATAGCCCCCAGCATACTGCCTTGCTTTGTGTCAGTAGAAGAGGAAGCAGAGAACGAATTGTACAAAAGAACTCCTTCCCACAAAAGAACTCCAGGCCTCAAGGATCGTCTAGTATAGAGCGTCTGTACAATACCTGCTTCTTGGAAGAAACATGGACTCCTTGATGAACACGGAACCAGAGAGGAGAATATACCAGCAGGTCCCAATGTCATCAGGACTGAAAAGAAAATGTAACAGAATCAGATGATTGTCCGTAACAACAACAACAAAATCAGAACATATACAGCATCGAATCCAACGGTCACATCACTTGTAGAATGGCAAAGAACGGCGGCACTACACGTGGACCAAAAAAATCACTGTTCTTATCTCTGGAATAAACTGAAGACGCTCATCAGTATATTCAAATGTCTTAGATGCTCCTTAAACTTACGGCATCTACAATTTCAAGTTCCACTTGTTGGATAGAAAATATTTTGCTTCATACAAAAAAATAGAAAAAGCATCCGTGAAACTCTAGTCTCCCCAACACTTTGCACTGTCTACCATGTTCCCCAATTTTTTTTTTAAGATTTTATTTATTTGTTTGAGAGGTAGAGTTACAGACAGAGAGAGCAAGAATGAGAGACAGAGATGAAAGTCTTCCATCTGCTGGTTCACTCCCCACATAGCCACAACAGCCGGAGCTGGGCAGATCTGAAGCCAGGAGCTTCTTCCGCATCTCCCATGTGGGTGCAGGTGCCCAAGCACTTGGGCCTTCATCCACTGCCTTCCCTAGTCATTAACAGGGAGCTGGACAGGAAGTGGAGCAGCCAGGACACAAACCTATGCCTAAACAGGATGCTGGCACCACAGGTGGAGGCTCAACCTATAACGCCACAGCGCCAGCCCCTAGCCCCCATTTCTCCACACTCCACACATTGTTCTTTCTGTTATGGTAACTGAGAGGTCTTCTCATGCATTCTTACGGCTGTACAATGTTCCATTCCACAGAACGCATGTGCCGTACTTGACCTAAGCAACCCCACGCTTCAGTTGTTTTCAATCATACACGACTATATAAAAACAAAAACTGTAGCAACTAGAAGGTAATGAAAAGCAACTTTTAGGTCAAAAGGCACATATGGTGGGGCCGGTGCTGTGGTGCAGCAGGTAAAGCCGCCACCTGCAGTGCTGGCATCCCGTATGCTCCACGTCCAATCCAGCTCTCTGCTGTGGCCTGGGAAAGCAGCAGAAGATGGCCCAAATCCTTGGGACCCTGCACCCGTGTGGGAGACCTGGAAGAAACTCCTGGCTCCTGGCTTCCGATCAGCACAGCTCCGTCCGTTGTGGACTACTGGGGAGTGAACCAGCGGACAGAAAACCTCTCTCTCTCCCTCTTTCTCTCTCTGTACCTCTCCTTCTCTATGTAACTCGGACTTTCAAATAAATAAATAAACCTTAAAAAAAAAGGCACATATGGGACAGGCATTTGGTGCAGTGATGAAGAGGGTGCCTGGGAAGCCAGTACCCCATACTGGAGTGCCCGGCTCTGCCTGCAAGTCTGCCTTCCTGTAATGTGCACCCCAGGGGGCAGCAAGTGACGGCTCACAGACCTGGGTCCCTGCCATCTACACGGGAGACCCAGATGGGAGTTTGAGGCTTCTGGCTTCAGCCGGCCCTGGTTATTGTGGGCATCTGGGGAGTGAACCAGCAAATGGAAGATGGCTCTGACCTTCAAGTGGATAAAAATCTTAGAAACAAAAAAGGCATACAACACTGTACTTTTTTTTTTTTTTTTTGACAGGCAGAGTGGACAGTGAGAGAGAGAGAGGAGGGAAAGGTCTTCCTTTTCTGTTGGTTCACCCCCCAATAGCTGCTATGGCCGGCGCACCGCACTGATCCCAAAGCAGGAGCCAGGTGCTTCTCCTGGTCTCCCATGGGGTGCAGGGCCCAAGGACCTGAGCCATCCTCCACTGCCTTCCTGGGCCACAGCAGAGAGCTGGCCTGGAAGAGGAGCAACCGGGACAGAATCCGGCGCCCCGACCGGGACTAGAACCCGGAGTGTCGGCGCCGCAGGTGGAGGATTAGCCTAGTGAGCCGCGGCACCGGCCAACACTGTACTTTTGAAAGGCACTATCCAAAGGCACTCTATAGGCTATTAGCAATGTGGAAGCCCACCTACTTCCCCGTAACCTTACAAGCCATTTGTTACACTTATCTAACCAATGTTTGACAGTTTTACATTGAGGGCTTGCTAAGTTGATGAGGATACTCCAAAAAACAATGAAAAGATCCCTGCAATTCTCAGCAGAAGGCAGGAGGCCCAGGGTGAACGCAAGGGGCCCAGCAGGCCAGGCAGCGGGGCTGAAGCAGACGGGGCACAGGGCGAGGCCTGGGGAAGCAGAGCACATGGTCCTGGGGTCCCCGAGGCTTTTATCAGACTTGTGGATTTCTACCAGTGTGCGTGGTGAAGATGAGTAACTGAGCTTACTGTGTGTGTACATTTGTGTTTCTTCTTAATCTACGAGCATCTATTTCCTTACGTTTGTGAAACCAGTTCACAACCTTTCACTGACTTTCCATTGGCTGTGAGACTTTTATCTAGGAACATTTAAAAAAATACCTTTTGAAAACATATGCTGTGAGTATCTTTTTCCTGACCTGCTGCTTACCCTCTGACATTGTTTATGGCGCATTTGACCATAGATGATACGTTTTGTAAGATTTCATATACTTATTTGAGAGGTACAGTTACAGACAGAGAGGGAGAGACAACAGAGAGGTCTTCCATCGGCGGTTCACTCCCCAGACAGCCATAACGACCAGAGCTGAGCTGATCTGAAGCCAGGAGGCAGGAGCTCTGTCCAGGTCTCCTACATAGGTACAGGAGCCCGAGGACTTGGGCCATCCTCCACTGCTTTCCCAGGCCATAGCAGAGAGCTGGATCAGAAGTGGAGCAGCCGGGATGCCGGCACTGCGAGTGGTGGCTCAACCTACCATGCTGCAGCACCAGCCCCAGTCAGTTATTTCCTAAAGACAAGTTTATCGAACGGGTTAGTTGGGACACAGGCCTAAGCACCTACTCAGTAGAACAATAATCTATTCTTAAGCAACGCCTGACTAAAGGAAGGAGCTCACTTCTGTTCACACACCGAGCTCTGGGCCCCAGCAATGCAAGATGATATGGAGCTCCCAGGCCTGGGAAACCAGGCTCTTGCTGTGGCAGGGAGGGGCCGGCCTCAACCTGTCACTTCTGTGTCCTGCTCTAAGGAGCCAGCTCCATCTCTCGCCACCACAAACACAGTCCAGCGGGAGAGAGGGGCACCAAGGCATCATGGTGGATACCCCATCCCTTCCCAGAGTTAACACAAAAGCTGCCCGCAACACTCACATCCCATTCTGGAGTGCCTGTTCCAGTCCTGGCTGCCCCACTTCCAATCCAGCTCCCCGCTAAGGCACCTGTGAAAGCAGTGGAAGATGGCGCAAATACTTGGGCCCTGGCACCCACATGGCAGATCCAGATGGAGTTACAGGGTCCTGGGTTCAGCTTAGACCAGCCCTAGCCATTGCAGCCACTTGGGAAGTGAACCAGCAGGTAGAAAATCCCGCTGGCTCTTTTTCTGTCACTCTGCCTTTCAAATAAAGTAACTAAAAACAAAAAGAAAAAAACCCTGTGCTTCCCTAGAGCCCAGCGGATGACAGGTAAACCGCAAGGAGTAAACCGCAAGGAAGTGCGCGTCGATTTTCCGGCAAGTCCTTTGTTACGTTTGTTTACTTACGATTGGTACATGGCTTCATTCCAAAAGTTTTCGAAGAACAATATGTTCTATGCATAGTTATGAAAGATTAGGCTTTTTAGTAATACCTCTGACCATCATCTAATAACTTTTTTCACTTTTATTTATTAGAAAGGCAGAGAGACAGAGAGAATGCACCCATCTGTTGGTTCACCCCAACCAAATGGCCAAACACAGGAGGCAGGAATTCCACTTGGGTCTCGCATGTGAGTGGCAGGCACCGGGTTCCTTGAGCCACCACTGCTGCCTGCCAAGGTCTGGATTAGCGGGAGAGCGGAGTCAGGAGCCCGAGGAGGTACTGAACCGGGGCAGTCTTGCACAGGACGTGTGCGGTCTTAACCAGCAGCCCGATAGCTTGCCTTCCCCTCACCAGATCACCTCGTCCCGCTGCCTGCTTCTAGAGTGGCTCAAGGGCTGATCATCCACACACCCACATCACACACTTCTACCCTTCACCAAATTCCTGACTCTTAACAGTCCTCAATAGCATGGCCTCAAGAAAACATGGAGGGAAAACGTTGACAAGCTGACCTCAGTTCCAAAGAGGAACCACTTTGTAAATAATAATGTGAGATACTTAAAAACAAGTGATGTGGCCGGTGCTGTGGCGTAGCGGGTAAAGCAGCTGCCTGCAGTGCCGGCATCCCACATGGGTGCCGGTTCTAGACCCGGCTCTCCACTTCCGATCCAGCTCTCTGCTGTGGCCTGGGAAGGCAGTAGAAGATGGCCCAAGTCCTTGGGCCCCTGCACCCACATGGGAGACCCCGAGGAAGTTCCTGGTCCTGGCTTTGGATCGGCGCAGCTCCAACCATTGCGGCCATCTGGGGAGTGAACCAGCAGATGGAAGACCTCTCTCTCTCTCTGCCTCTCCTTCTCTTTGTGTATAATTCTGACTTTCAAATAAATAAAATAAATCTTTAAAAAATAAAAACACAAGTGATATCATCCTTTCCTCCCCTGTCTTTTAGGTTTTGCAACCGGCATTCATTTACCTAGCGATTGAAAAAAAAAAAAGTACTTGTCTTTCTTAATATGACAGTGTTATTAAATTTTAATTTATGCCAAGTAAAAATGATATATTCTGCCAGACTCAAACCCAGTTCAGCCTTTTAAAAACAAATGATAACCACTGAAAAAGAAAGAAAAAAAGACAGGGTATTTTGTAACCTTATTTTAATCTGTTCTTACAAAAGTTCCCTTTAGCACAAAAAGGTCAGTGTTGGCCAAGGAAATCTAGAGACTGTGGGAAATCACAGCAGAGCACCACTTAGTAACTTTGTGGCCCGTGGTGAATCCCAAGAGCTGCCCCAGGGCGGAACTGAACCCTGGACGTTTCATGCAAATAATCATTCTCTGACGACTAATGGCTTCACCACGTTGGGAAGAGTAATGAACGGCACCATGGCCCAGACTAACAGTGCTGCGCACAACACTGCAA